AACCCAACCCGCATTGAGCAAGCGTGGTGATTAAAGCTCAAACCTTCTCCGTGTGAGAGGGCTTTGGGCAGCAGTGGGCATTTATATGTTGATGATGACGACTGTAGTATAATATAATATTGCGGCCCCCCAGTCGTACGGCAGCCAGACGTACCGCACGGTGTCGTTGATCAGCCGCGAGCAGTTCGAGGCGGCCGTGCCCAACGAGAAGCACTACAACCCCGCCGAGCCGCCCCCGCCGCCGCCGCGCCCGCTGCAAGTAAGTCGCGCCGCTATATTACTATACATATTTCTACTTTAAAACCACTTTAAATTCAAGTTCAAAATCTTAGTAACGATAACAACATAACTGATTTATTTATTTATTAAAGCTTCATGCACAAAGTGTACACAAGGTGGACTTAATGCTGCAGGCATTTTCTCCCAGTCTGACCTTTGAGTGATGCAGAGAAGAGTTAATGGTGTGAGCAAGAAGCAAGCAACGAATTAATTGAGCAATTAAAATAGATACACTTACATATTTTAGTGATAAACATAAATAACCACAATTAACTTCACGCCTTTTATCCCCGAAGGTGTAGGCAGAGGTGCATATTACGGCACTTAATGCCACTGTACAATGTAACACCCACTTTCCAATATTTATGTTATGAGTCCCATGTAATAGGAGGTGAGCCTATTGCCATATATCGGGCACAATTGCAAACTCCGTGCTACTACTGAATGTTTTTTGAAAAAACCCAGTAATACTATACCCGACCCGGGAATCGGAACTCGAAACCCCTTGCCCAACAGTCGCACAGTCAACAATAAGTTTCGTAAAATACACTTGGAGCAAAGCAGCGGAACCACTAGCACTTCTTTTTCTATTTTCTTGTTATGTAATTGTAAAGGTAACTAAATTGCCTAGTATACGACATACGTTACCAATTAATACAATACTTGTATCAGATAATATTTATCAAAAAATAAAAAAGAGTTTTATTATAATAACTATCGTGAGACATACTAAATTAAGTAAAATCGCGGGTTACTCACGTGAATATGCGCGACGTCGCCGCGACCGCGCACGCTGCTCATGAGGAAGAACCCCTCTGTGGTTCGAAACTAGTAGAGCTTTTCTCAGTATATTCACGTGAGTAACCCGCGATTTTACTTATATCAAAAAGAAAATACGCTAATGGCGGTATTTTCTTGCAAGTGTCCTAGCTTGATGAAAGAAAAATAATTAAATTGTATTTGTATCGCAGGTATCGCAGCAAGCTGAGTCGTCTGCAGAAGGCAGGACGGGGCGACGGCCGAGACGCACGGCTCGATTCTACGCAGCCAGCAAGGATCCACATGCTACTGACGTTATGTGAGTTAATAGTAGTAATATTTGTGTTATACAAGCTTCTACCCTCGACTTCGTACGCGCAATTCTGTTTTCTCAGTGTGTTATTTCAATGGTTATTTTTTTATTTTAATATAATGCGTCAAGCGTGTCTTTGCATTGTTCTCACATATGCGTACAGTATTGGAATATGTACCAGAGACATTGTAGAACATACTTTTTTAAAAAGAGTAACGAATGGAGTTTCTTGCTCGTTCTTCTCCATTCGAATCTACATTTTGGAATGAGCACCTAGCTTCACCTAGTTTCACTGATCGACTGACTGACAGACTATTATTTATTTTGTATTTGTTGACGTTTCAAAAGTACCAAATTGTGGTTTAATTGAAATAAATGCATTGACTTTGACTCCCGTTCCCGTCGATTTTCAGATTATTTTCTGTATTTTAACTCGTCGAGTACCGTCATTACAGACACAATTATAGAACAATAGGTTGCGGTCACCGGTGACCGCTAGGTGTTGACAGTTTAAGAATCTTCTAGTAACAACAAAAAAAGAATTAGTGAAATTGGTCTAGCCAGTCACGCGTGTTGCAGTGACCAAGGGAAAAGGGATTAATTTTTATATACAGGATAGAATGTTGTAATGCCACATAAAGGGGAAGTACTCTTATACTTAAGATACTTAAGATAGAAAATTTTACTCAAAGAAAACATTCCTTTATTTATGAAAAGAAACAAAACTTCATGCAAAGATTTTCAAAAATTACCTTGTCTTACACTGTAATCGAACCGACTAAAATCTATCGAAGTTTGCACCCTGTACTTTTATTGCACCAATTCCTTTTATTTGATTTACAACCAGGGGGCTCACTCTTGAATCCAATTCCGATCGATCGACATTGGTATTGTGAAAATTCGTACTCTCGAGTTGCAACACTAGCGCCCATTGCATCCGTATTGCGTGGATATTGAATGAACTAAATGGTATTGAGTTTGGCTTTATATTCCGTACTCTGAATGCTATTGTAACAGCTACGATTGCAGTTGTATAATGTTGACTTTGAATAATTATTGAGATTTTATTGGATTGAAATTGCATTGACATTGAGATTGGTTTTAAGAGTAAGCACTCTGCTTAACATTCCACTTGTCCCTTGCAGAAGTAGCCGCAAGCACAAGACGCGCCACTCGCTGAACCCGCCCGTGGAGCATCATGTCGGCTGGATCATGGACATTCGTGAACATCGCGCAAGGACGCACAGCACTGGGTATGTTCATTCTACTTTATAAAACTCTATTTTTTTTTTTTTTTATTTATTTTATTTATTTATTGAATGGTGAATCAACAGCTACATTACATAGATTTAGCAGAAAAATAGTAACAATGAGCCACTTATAGATTCACACGAATACTGACTTAATAGGTAACAGCTAAGACAAAATTAAAATTATAAATACATTAAAATCAGGCACACAGCAAGAAAATTATTAAAATAAAGACAAAAAAAAAA